TATATTTTTGTTTTAATTGGTGGATTTAGTATCTTATAGGTACAAATTGATAATTAGGTGTCCATCAAACAAAAATGATCAAACAGTAAGAAAAGAGTTGCAATTAGGAAAATAAAATCAAATTAGAAGAGAGGATCCCTCAACATCTCAAATAGTGTCCACGAAGTCGAGCATAACTTTCTCATCCGGACTCCAAATCAACTGGTTCCGGCGGCATTAGAAAGCTATTTTAGCTGGCTATGGTTCCTGTCTAAAGCCAAATTTCCAAATTCGGACACGAACATGGTCAAAATTGGATTCCAAAAGCGATCATGAAAATACGTGCTACAGTTCGAGGACATGAATGCGCATCAAGAAACGTTCACAAAAACACTCGCTACAAAATATACGCACATAAGTAAAAGTACAAAAGCATGCACAAAAGTACTCACGCAAAAGTGCATTCGCAAAAAGGATCATGAAAACACAAACTACAATCCTAGGACGTTAATACAAATCAACAAACATGCACAAACACACTCACTCAAATGGACATGCACAAACGTACATGTAAAAAAATATGCGCAAAAGTGCATTCACAACAACGTACTTAAAAACACGAAATACAACACTGGGACTTAATACGAATAACCTAACAATAGCAAAAACACTAAATACAAAAGATACAGTGGAGTGTAGAAATAACACTCAACGTTTACGTTTACGTAGATTTTTTTATGGATTAATTTATATTTTTGTTTTAATTGGTGGATTTAGTATCTTATAGGTACAAATTGATAATTAGGTGTCCATCAAGCAAAAATGATCAAACAGTAAGAAAAGAGTTGCAATTAGGAAAATAAATCAAATTAGAATAGAGGATCCTTAAACATCTTCGGTAATGTCCACGAAGTCGAGGATAACATTCTCATCCGGACTCCAAATCAACTTGTTCCGATGGCATTAGAAAGCTATTTTAGCTGGCTACAATTCCTGTCTAATGTGAAATTTCCAAATTCGGACTCGAACATGGTCAAATTGGATTCCAAAAGCGATCATGAAAATACGTGCTACAGTACGAGGACACGAATGCACACCAAGAAACGTGCACAGAAACACTCGCTACAAAATATACGCATATAAGTAAAAGTACAAAACGCGTGCACAAGAAGTACTCACGCAAAAGTGCATCGCAAAAAGGATCATG